GAAAACCATGTTAAAATCAGAGAGAAATTGCCCAAGAGGGGACCATTGTTAACTCCTCTCCAGCATTTCCGTTTTTATTTAACTTCCAATATTAACAAATGTTAGAGCTCCTTTTTTCACCATCCACACAGCACAAGACTGCAAAAAACGATACCCCTATATCAGGAGGCATGCCTAGTGCAGTCCATACTGCACATTTTTTTTGCAAATATAATAAGAAAACATGCATTTTACCAATTAAGTTACACAATGTGATACATGGTTGACCAAAGAGTATATTTAAGGTGATCTGTAAAGTGACAAACATTATATCTATAACTTCGCAGTAGATCTAATTAATCCCATGTTCTGACAAAAACCAAAAAAAATTAACAATAATGATCAACCTCATGCACCCTAATTTGTACAAGGACTCAAATTACAGCCTTGAAAGCATTAGCAATGTCATGCCACTGAAGAAGGCCGGGATTACAAGCAACTCTTTCTGCAAATGAAGACTTACCAGCTTGACACTTGTCAAGATGGAAAATTAGTTGGAATCGGCATTCTTGCTGGAGTTGCCTTCAAGATGTCGATGTATGTCACGCTGTAGCATCTGTGCATATTCCTGCTCATGCCAGGAGAGAGAAAAAAAAGAAGAAGAAGAAGAAACTTTTGAAGCTCTGATGTGACAAATTGGAAATTTAATGCAATTTTAAAAGTGCAATGGTGACTAGTAGAGAAGACAATTCAACAGAAATTCTGAATACAGAAACTGAAGGATGAGGAACTTACATTTGCAAGGTCCTCATCACAGCACAACTCATCAAGAAGATCTTCAGGATTCCTTCCACCACCATGCAACTGAACTGCACTCTCAACAACGGCATGGAAGATATCTCCAGGTGAATCACATTGTTCAACCATCTGAGCCACTTGTTGCATGTTAATCTAAGAAACAGATAGAAGTATTGTCATTACTACAAAAGTGAAATGTGGTGCAAGGAAAACGGGGAATGAAGGTTTTTCTGCTGGGATAAGTGGAGAATGCTGTGAACAGTCTCTTTGACAAAGTGCTTTCAATTCGAGTAGAGCAATACCATTCTGTGAAATGCAAAGATAGAACTTTTTATTGTCCCATATTGCCTTATTATCACAACAAATACAAACCTGAAAATCCTGATCGCTAGGTTTGTTGGTTTCTCTTAATCTCCTCCCACCATGATCTGTCTGTGATTCAGGTTCCACAACTGGGAAAGGCTGAGGTGCATTTGGCCCACGACCAAGAGCCTGAGATACAACAGGCATCATCTGTTGGACCATCTGCGACAGATCAATGCCACCACTTTGACCTCCTCCTAGTCCAGAAAACATGTTTCCAAGATCCTGGCTATCTACCTGTTGAGCAATTTGGCTAACAGTGTTCATGATTTGTGGGCTTTGAGTGAGTTGCTGCAACATATTTCTCAATACATCTGGTGAACCAACACCTGTTTGCTCTGAAAACCCAGCCAGTAAGCCATTCAATGCAGGACTTTGCAGAACTTGAGACACAGCATTTGCAGTATCAAGTGGATCATCAAAACCCTGTCCTCCTGATGATCTACTATTTCCAACAACTGGGTTAATTGATGGTGCTTCATTTGCCTGGATCCTATTTGTAGCAGAGCTCCGAGATGCAAAAGATTGCAAAAGATGTTGGCCAACAGTCCTAGTGTTCAAGTTCTGATCTGGAGGAGCACTGGTTGTCTCACTATCAGCACTTTGGACTGGTGATTGTGATTGCCTGTTGCGTCGCTGACAACATCAACAACATTGAAGCTCAGAATAAGCAATCATTTGAAACCTAACTTAGAAAAATGAATTACTCAACACAGTACTTATCCCATTAGTTAAGAGTGAAAGCTATACTAACTAAAGCAATTTAATAATATTTTAAAAAGAGGAAGAGATGATAATGACACCTTACGCTCCAAACCCCTCAGCCCCAATCCAAGTGGAACAGGTTTGGTACTATTCCCGCTGGATCCTGAACCACTTCCTGTAGCATCATCTGACTTTACCATCGGTTCTCCACTTGAACATGAAGTAGCTCCCACCATGCAACTTGATGCATCCTCCTTTGAGGTTACTACAGCTGCAGTCATATCATTCTTGCTTGCTTCAGCACTCTGAGGTTGTGGCTGGTAATCAATGGCAATTTAGCATTAGTCAGAGGTTTCACCAAAGAATCACTGATAAGATCCATTATGAGGAAAGCATACCTGTTGACCTTCCCTTTCAGCTGTGGCCACAGGCAATGTGACAGTAGGATCAGCAGCACCACCAACTGCCACATTGTTGGGCGGTTCATTGCCAGAATTGTTACCTGTACCAGATCCAATAAATAAATTTTGTGCCATTGAAACCTTGACCAAAAATTGAGTTGCCATGTATTATAGATGTTAGTATCTGAAGACATTCTGCAACTAGGTACCTGATGCAACTTGGTTCTCTCCCTGGACATTACCAACAAAATTTCTCATTCGTGAATTCAATTCAGTGAGAACATTGGGTAATGATGAGTCACTAGGTGGCTGAGAAGTAGGAACATAGAAGGCAGGTTGTGCACTTAGTGCAAAACCTGAAGGGCCAGGACGTGCTGCTGGGATAGTTGCTGCAACAACATTTCTCACAGGCAAAACCCTCATTGAACCAGAACCAGTATTGCTACTACGTTCTCCTTGGGTCCCTTCCCCAGTGCTTGCTCTGCTGTCAACCCCTGGAATGACGGGTGCCAGCGAGGTGCCTGATATTGAAAACCACTTTGTTATTAATGAAATACATAAATAAAAAAGAATAAAAACAGACTGATGAAGCAGATTTTACCCACCAGCATGAATGTGGATATTTATATGCCTTGGGGCACTTCCAATACCTACAGGACCCAAAGTTGTTGGGTTTGGTGGAAGATTTGAACCGCTAAACATGGAACTCGTTTGAATGGGAAAAGGCTGCAAATAAACACATTAATCCATGCATGATGAATAGGGAATAAAAGTCACCTTAATCACTCTTAGACTTTAAGTTATTAAAAACTGGGCTAAAAAACATGTACAAATAATTTAAAAATAAAATAAGGGACACTCTTCAGAACATAAATCCAATTCATCGTATCCCAGGATTCTAAACATCATACTGACAGATGATAAACTATAGCATACACATCAAGTAATAATCAAGTTTGCACGCCTTTTAAGCTCCATTCTATCCTTGAAAAACATAAGTTCTCTCTCAATTCTGTTGGTCAACATATTCAAAATAGTTTCCCTTTACACTTCTCCATGACAGAATATTGATATTAACAGAAATATTACATAGTATTTAGCGCACAACTCAACATTGTCATCTAAAAGAAAACACCTATTTCCAGATGCATATTATTTAAGAAACAAATCAAAGAAAAGTTTCTTCACTAGGCATTTGCAGAAAGCTGCCATAAAAACCAATGCTGCAGAGTCAAAAATATATTCCAATGCTTAAATAAATTGCAGAAAGATGTTTCTTTTTCAAAAACAAATGCAGTACAATAAAGCACCACAAATTGAATGAAAACTGAAACTTCATTATATAAACCAGCAAATCTTAACATGTAAGATGAAGTTATCTTTACAGACCTGAACCATAATGGGATTTGGCCCTGATGAAGATATATAAACTGCAGGCCCAGCATTGATTGAAGATTGCACCTACAGATTGCATTAAATAATTTTAGAAGATAGAAGAGAACAACCAGAGCCAATGGATACAGAAAGGAAAAGACCATACAGGAGACTGTCCCATTCGCAGCGTCAACATTGTACGACCAAGCTCTAAAAGAAGGGCACCTAAATGTTGCATTGCATGGCCTACTTGCGCTGACTCTATCTGAATTTGCTCCCTTACTGTAGGATCAGAAGAATCTCTCTCTTGCTCCAAGCGCCCTGCAATATGCTACAAAGTTGCAGCAAATACAGTTACAAGGAATGAGATTCTAAAGCTTGTAAAAAAAAAAAAAAACCAAAATGGTGAAATGGATACATAGCTGGTAATTTCCAGTTCAAATCCATTTAGTAGCTACTTCATCACAAACACCAAAATTTCAAATGCAATTTACTTCCTAAACTGAAGTTTGCGGTCCACTTCCTATAAGGACATTATGTGTTCATTTACTAAGGAAGCTGTTTGATATCTAATTCAATTTCAAAGATGGTGTTAGAAAATTACATTGTGTAAATTGGAGAGCCACAGCTTTATCATATTTGCATAAACTATCCACCAACTGTTAATACCGTACTGTAGAGTTTTAATCAATTAATCAATCTAATCATATAGGTTAACCAAGAACATAATTTCATTAATCTTTTTAGTCAAAATTGAAGGAAGACTAGCAAGATGTATGTGCAAAATAAAAAATCATATGATCTACATTCCAACATGGATGGGAACACATAATTTTTCTGAATATAACAATCTCTCTCCAAGAATTGAGGAAATTTCCAAATAATCAAGTAAATAACCACATGGAAGTAAAAAGACCTCTAAAATAGAGGCTTAAGGATTTAATGATAAACACTTAAAAAGCCAAATTTAAAAATACATATTCTTGTTAATGCATATTATTATAAAAATTGAAATTTATGAAAATGACTCACAA